TGTCTATTAGCAAACTGGCCAGGAAGTTTAAAGATGTCCAACTGCTCCTGGCTCTCAAGAAGAAGACCTTAACCTCCAGCTTGCTGGATGCCGTGCAGGGCATCTTCTACCGGCGCCCGGATGTCTTTTGTGGCAAGCCGTACTACCAGCAGATCCAAATCGGTCCTCATGGACACCTCATTTGCACCGAACTGCACGTCTTTTGGAGTAGCACTTACTCCTGCTGGAAGATCGGGGCCTTGTCTGAGGAGAAGGCGGGATTTCTCCGGCATGCGGAGGAGTCTCCATCGCCATGGGAGGTGAAGAAACCCTGGATGCTGGTGAAAGAGAGCCTCTGTCGTCCAGATCAGTAGGGCTTCAGGACCACAAGCGTCGCTGTCGCGGACTTCGGCAGTCAAATGGATGTGCACAGCTTTGATGGAGAAAAATCATCCCTCTTCTCATGAGTCGTGCATGGCACCATTTTGCTCTTTTCAAGCGGTTCATGCGGGGGAGATGGTGGGAATGTGGGGATTCCCAGGTTGATCTTGAGCATCGCATTAGGATGAAGATGGCTGAAGGAAGTATAGATCACCCTCCCAAATTTCCTGACATATTTAAATTACAACATATGATCTATAGTACCTGAGAGGGAGCAAAGCATCCGCCCCGTCTTTGGCTTCTTCCGCCCCCGCCCCGTCCTGTGGCACCAAGGAGTTGGACTTTGCAAGATTGAATCCCTTCCTGAAGCCCGAAGCAGCAGCAGGTGGAACCCTTTCGGACCCCTCGGAGTGTCGGGCCGTGTTCGGACTTCACATTCCCTTCGGGCGGACGAACGTGTGACGGGTCGAAAAAGGGTCGAAAAAAGGGATTGCGGACGGGAGGGTGGGGAACCGGCGCCAACCGGAGTTGTTTGAACCAATACCATGCAGTTTTTCAGCATGGTTCTGCAGTTTTCAGCAATCAGAGGGCATGCCATGCAGAAGGCTTTGGGGAAGCTGCGGTCCGACATGGAAGTCGGTCCATCAGTTCATACCCAACTCCAAGTGTACTTTCGGAAGGGCAGTGGATGGCATGGGTACTGATTTCGGAAGACCATTTTCCTAAACGAACAGTGGGTGTTCCATTGGGCCAGGGGGTCCTCCCTATCAACATACACACCAGTTGCGATGTTTTTTGTCTTCGGAGAACGACTCGAACGTTCGGGGAACGACTCGGCCGTGCCGAAAAAGGCCTGCTGAGCCGTTTGACTCAGATGATGCTGGTGGCCGGTCGCATTATCCAGTGTCTTCGGTGATCGTTGGGTTGGAACAGGGTTGGCAGGGCGGTCCGGGTAGATGAGCAGGGCTTTTTCCAAAGATCAGTTGGAAGCTTCAGGAGGTAAGCTTGGGGGTTCAAGAACCCTGCACCCTCCTTTGGAGGGTTGTTAGGCCAGATCTCTCAATTGGTGACCTGTTGGAGGGTGCTGGTAACCATTTTATTTTTTTAAACATTCAGTTGAGAGCGACAACCGCGAAGCGGATTTGACTTTTGACCGACCTTTGAAGGATCGAGGTGAACATGGTGCCAAGGTTATGAAAAGCACAGAGGTCCGCGGGGAGAGGCTTTCATTTCTTGACCAAGCTCTACAAGTTGGATCATCAAGGGTCTGAGCAAGTACTTCCAGGACCACTAAGGAATATGCCCTCTTTTGCCCAAGTGAAACCACACTCCAATCAAAGATGGTATCCAGTATACTCAGTATACCATAACAGGTCTGTTTTTTTTTGGGGGTGGTACCACTCGTGACTTTCTTCTCCACTCAGGACCTGTAGGGCTTTGGATAGCTGTCAGGAGCGACGGTTCGCGAGCGACGGTTCCAACCTCTCGGCCGTAGAGGTGATGCCATGCCACCAACCATTCGCCGTAAGGTGAAGATGTGTGCAGGTCCGAAACGCCACCCAACCCCCTCTTGCCACTTGGGTCGTCCTGGGTCCCCCCATGTCTCCCTACCGGTCCAGACCAGTCGTCCAGTAGGTGCGTGTGCTGTCGGGGAGGAATCGAAGACCCAGTGCCGATTGGGTTGCTAACTCGGTCCTCCACCACGGCAGAACAGCTGCGTACGCACATGCAAGCACGCACGCAGCTGCGAAGGCAAGAGACTGAATGCGCGCAGAGACTGCGCGGTACGTCAGACCCAGACATGAACAGGGTTTTTGATTGTTTTGGAGTGCCTACCTGCCCCAAAGCTGTGAAACTTCGGCTGTTCAGATCGTTAAGAACAGGTGTTTTGCCCGCGAGTAATGGCTCATCAGAGCAAGTAACAGTTGCAATGTATATAGTTTACATCAAGCTATTTGACCTTGGGCCCTGGCCCAAAACACATGGCACCACACTTGTTCAATCAGCCCATGTTCATGGCGCCATATGCATTGACACTTAAAGAACGTTTCACATCTTCTCACTGACCTGCTCCCTGCTGAACGCTGCAGACCTGCGAACCAGGACTTGGCAGACCTGCTGGCAAACCCCGACTCTGCCGGCTCCGCAGTGGCCTTAGCCGCTGGGCTGAGCGAGAAGGCTGGGCCAAGGGGAATGGACGCGGTGGACACGGGGAAGGGGTGAGTGGAGGGTGGACCGGTTGAGGGTGGCTGGTCCAAAAAAGGCTGGTGGGAGAGGGAAACGAGCTCGATAAAGGGAGCTAGGCTCGACCTTCATTGAAGAGATGAGTCAATTGATGTCAATTGCATTCATGAAGCTTGTTTATGGGCTTGGTTTCGTGGCCCAAATGGGGTTGATGTCAATCGTTCGGGTCCAAACTCGAATATTTTTCAGCTCAGCGCCATGACTTTGAGCTCCGCAACCATGGCGAAGCTACGTGTGATTGCCCTGAGTGGAGAGGAAGTTCGTGAGATCACCATGACAGATCTTGGTGAGGAGACGCCCATCAGCGAGCTCTTGCAAAGGCTGGTAAAAAAGAAAAACATGGAGAACAGTACTGGGAGGTGTTCATTCCGTCTTGCCTTTTGTTTCTAGGATTTTGAAGGATTTCGTGGGTTTTCTTTGGTGTCACTTCTTGCCATTCAGGTGTGCTGAGCCTCAATGCAGGATCAAGCTGTTGTTCGAAGGACAAGAGCTAAAGCCTTGCATGTCCTTGAGTGAAGCTGGTCTGCAAAGTGGAGACACCCTGACGCGTGTGGTGTGTCCCAAATCTGAAACCGAACTGCGCTTGGAAGAACTGTTTGCCGAGCTCCGGGAGTGCTGGCGTCAGATGTGTGAAGACTTGCTTCAGATGCGCGAAGAGTTGCTTGATGAGCCAGAGCACGACCTTCATACGAGGCAGCGGATTGAAGCTGAGAAGCGTCAGCAGATTGAAGCTGAGAAGCAGCGCCTTTGGGCGCGGTTGCTAGAAAGCGTCGAGAAACCCAATCAGCGAAACTCGGATTGACCGAGCGGAACAGAACACTGCGTATTTTGCATGGTTTGTCGCCCACCCCTTTTCACGACAACATTTTACATAAGTCACATTTTGGGGGTGTTAAAGCTTTTAGGTTTGAAATAGCATTTGCCCTGCGATCGCAATTCGCAATTCTCGCACTAAGGACATGACATGAATAGAAGGGAACTCAAGGGCAAGGAGTGGAAGAGGGCAGCGCGACTTTCTAACCGGACGCCGTCAAGGCATTGCAGACGGTGGAGATGATGAGATGAGCAGTGCAGCTCTCATCAGCTCTGATCGATGCGCCACTCTGAAGTTCGAGATTGAAACATCCTCCATGTCACCCTATCAAAAAATTGTGTTGCTTGTGGCATCCTTCTGATTTGGAGGCAAAACACCATGCCTTTGGAAGAGCTGACGCTGCGAGTCGTGCGAGTCGTGCAAAGATGCGCAGAGTCGTGTCCTGTATCTTTGGGTGAGTTGGGTGCCGAGCATTTTGCTGGCGACGTTCACAGTTGACATGGGTAGACAAGTGCTTGTCCAGTGTGCTTTATTTTTTTCTTTTCGGGTCAACCAACCAAAGAAGCGGCCCGGTATACATGGTACAACCTTCTTCACCACGACCGGTCAAGCCGCTACTCGTAGCCATCTCGTACAGACCCCACCTCGTACAGACCCCACCTCCGGTGTTGGCTCCTGTCACCAGCTCGTTGACAGGCGAACGTCTTGAGCGGGTTGCTGGCATCAAAGAGGACCTATATCGAGAAGGTCGAAGGCGGGTCGACAAGACACCGGTGCAGGTGAGGTTCCCTGTTTTACCCAATGGTCACGGACGGGGTGGTTTCGGTTTTGGGAGCCTGATGTTGCGCCCCCCCCCAAAAAAAATCAGATCGCTGGTAGCGCTGAGGCCAGAACCATCGACAGTTGATCGGCCCATGGCGCTTTAGATCGAAAGGTCTTGGAATAAAACAACACAATTGGTATGATTTTGCAAGAAAAGGCGGGTTTGGTCAGCCAAGAGCAGGGCATCCTGTGTTCTTCCTCTTTGCGCCGCCAGACTTGGATCACGGGATGGTCACATTGTCACCTTCCACGTTGAAGGATCGACTCAGTGGTTGGTTTTTCGTGGGTTTTCATTCCATTCTTCTTTCTGACGTGATGGATGGGCTTTTAGTCAATATGTCAATCCTTGGGCATTGTCAATAGGGATGGGGTCCCAGTATAGTCGCTATACAGGTACATGCCATATACTTTTGGCTCAAGTGCCCAACCAGGTAAAAAGGAGCTTTAGCGCGCGAGCTTCATGTTGACCTAAGAGCTAGAACGGGGCCAGGGCACACCTTTCCATCCGTTCGCAGGTTATCAGCCGTATCCAGACTCCTTTGAGCTGGGTACGAGCTGCGGCCTTACACAACACCATCTAAACGCACACACATCGGATAGATCAGTTACCCTCAGTCACTGAAGATGGACCAATCCGACGCCAGCACTGCATCTTTTGGAGCAGCTGCTGCGGCCGCAGATCGGATGAGTGCATCCCACAACTCTAGTCCAGGTACGATCGAAGCGGAGACTCTGACAGCGGTGAGAGAAGATGCGACAGGTAGAGCACGAAGTCGTTCCCCGTCAGCGCACTCGACACCACCGTGGGGGACACCGAGATCAGGCCGTAGCCCTAGGGAGACAAGGAGGAGGACTGACACCGGAGCTGTGAGAGTGTTAGCATTGCAGGATGGGTCAGCTGTACCAGTGCCGTCGGACAGCGAAGCTGGAGATCGAGCAAGGGCAAGCACTGACAACCTACAACTAGCACGGGCCGATGGAGACCTGAATGCGAAGTGTGCGCAACTACTTGCCGAAGTGCATATGTTGAACCACCAAAACGCATGGATGGTCGAATGTGAGCAGAGACAGAACCAGATTATACAACACGAGACCGAAGTCCACGAAGTAGTGATGGCACACCTCGAGGAATGTTATGTCGAAGGATATGGAAATCAACGAAGAATCTCCCAACTTACAGAATCCAGAGACTGTTTGCTCTCAGCAGCACACGACCTGCAATACCAGATGGACACTGATCGTGTGGCAATGCGGGATCGTCTCACCCAGTTAGGGGAGTACGCTGATCGCAACAGCGCAGAGATGGTTAGTCAAGTTGTGAACATCGGCACGGAAGAGATCCAGGCTATATCGGCGGAAAGAGATCGAGCTGTAACCGAGATCATGACTACAATCGCAGATGCTGAGAACGTCAAGGATCTGTGTAGACAGGAGTTAGTTGGACTACAAAGGCAGAGTGCCAGAAACAAACACGAATATGCTGAAGAGATGAAGATGAGGGAAGCAATGTATGCAAGCAAGATCAAATGGTTATCAGAAGAGAATGAGGGGCTCAACAACCGATCTAATACTCAGGATAAGTTCATCTTGAGCATCAGAGAGCAATTGAAGAAGGCGAACGAGGAGTTGACTCAGACGAGGATTCAAGGATCCGATCGACCGTTTCAACCATCTAGCGCCGAACTCAAAAAGGCCGAAGCCAAGGTGAACATGTTGGAAGAGGACATTCTACGTAAAGAGAGGATGCTGAAACGTCTTCAGGAAGAACTGATCGAATCAAGCGCAAGTGAAGCACAATTGAAGGTCGCACTGAAGTTGAAACCACCAGACATGGGATCAGAACCCAGTGTGGAGAATGAGATGATGACCAAGCTTAGAGCGGAACTTGAACGTACTGAAAAGTTATTAAGGTCCGAGGAGAAAGAGGCAATTGAGTACTACGAAGGTATGATGCAGAACCAACAGGACATGATGGAATTCGAAGCGCATGCATCACGGCTCAGGGATGAGAGGAATAAGTACCGGAAGAGGTACGAAGAGGAGCGCACAAGTGCAGAGAATGCAGCCGCAACCGAACATGGTGCCGCTTCATCCTCTAGCTCAGGTGGCTCCAAGATATCTCGGAAGGAACACGAGAAGATCAACATCCCTGCATGGCCCAAGATACACGACCTGGAGGTTTGGAAATCCCAGGTTGTAGCGGCAGTCGTGACGGCATCGGGCGACGAGAAACAAGAAGACTGGATCCAATGGCTCTCGGATGCCTTCAGGTCACCATATGACCCATTTCTACTCGAGACATCAGGCGAAGCAAGATTCGCTAGCATAGACGCTAAGCTAGGTATCACCCTACATACGATCATCCACGCAGCAGGTGAGAGATCTCATGACGTACAACTGAAGGTGAGGCAGATGATGCAGAGACGTGCGAGAGGCACAACTCCTGGAATGGTCAAGGGACGAGAAATGTTAGCGTTGATCGTCGATAGTTTCCGGAGTGCCGACAACGTTGATGTGATGTATGCATCCAAGCACTTATTCGATCTAAAGTTCCCTGGGGATAATCAACTATCCAGATTCCTTGGACAGTGGGATGAGATCATATCTGGTATGGATGCGGATGACATGCTTCTTGACAAAGCACTTCGCAACCTGCTTTGGGATAAGATTAAGGATTCCAAAGTTATGGCGTTAGACTTGTCTGTGTACGACAACATGTTGGATAAGGACCCGGATAAGACCTATCAGAAGTTACGAGAGATCATGACGAAGTGGATACGGAAATCAATTGAGACCACAAACAAGAAAGAAAGGGAGAAAGCTTTTGGGAACATCGTGAGAGCCACACCAGCGGCGGAGAAGAAGGACCCTAAAGCGAAACCCAAGAATACCAAGACCGATCCACCGAAACATGACGCCGCTCCAGTACTTCCTCAGGCTAATCCGAAGGACCACAACAAGAAGGACAAGAAGCAGGATCGTGGAAGATCAGCCACGAAGAGCCCAAAAGGGGATCGTGGCAGATCAGCGACTCCAGCAGATACGTCCAAGATAGGATGCGCTTTCCACTTCCATGGGAAAAACGGATGCTCTAGAGGAGACAAATGCAAGTTTAGTCACCAGGAGAAGCACAAGAGTTCTGCTAAGAAACCAGAAAACCTCAAGGGTGACAGATCAAAGAGTCCCGGTGGCAGGAGCAGTAGCCCTAAGCCAATGAAGGATCAGGTCTGTTGGAATTGGCAGAAAGGATCGTGCAAGTTCGGGGACAAATGTCAACGTCAGCATCACGCTGCTCCTGCTACAAAACAAGAGGCTAGAGGCAAAGCCAAGCCCAAACCGGCTGCGCCAGCCTTCATGCTTTGCGGAGACATCGAGAGTGATGACGAGGACGTACAACCCGCACTTCCCAACGTACAACAAGGTAAGCTGGCGCTTCGCTTTAAAGTCAGATTCGATGACCAGGCGAATGTGACCACGTTCACCTGCGATCCTGGTAACGAACTAAACAACCGTCCCTCCAAGAGGAAGAAGAATGAGGTGCAGAAGGTGGACACCGAGCTCATTTCGTCGTCGAGAGCCCTCAGAGTGAGCAACATAGCTGCAAGAGTAGCACATGCCAAAGGTAAGATGATGGAGCTATTCTATGCTGAACACATTGCCAAGGCATGGATACAAATCACTCAGGATGAAGGAATCGAGGTGAACGTCGACCTGTCTGATTTCAACACCAGAGAGGTAGTAAGGAAGGATTTTGTCGACTACACGATACCAGGAACCACGATGTTCATGGCTGTGGAGAGGTATGATGGACCACCAATACGCTTCATCATGGACACGGGATGTGGACACGATTTGATCTCAAGAGAGAAAGTCAATGCCATGGGCCTTACCACCAAGGAAGGACCCAAATCCGTGAGCTTCATGACAGCGAATGGTGTAACTAGTACATCAGAGATGGTGGACATCAATGTGGACGAACTACCCATGAGGTCCGAGGCACACGTGTTGGAAAGCACACCATCAGTCTTTTCCATCGGGAAACGGTGCATGGAACAAGGGTACTCATTCATATGGCCGGCAAATCAATTGCCATACCTCATCGACCAGAACGCGAACAAGATTCCGCTATCGGTGCATGACAACATACCCTACATCAAGGTGAATGATGATGACGGGAGATGTTTACCAAGACCAGACGGCTTGGCTACGATACTTCATCGCATACTGTCAGGTGTGGGGCATGAAGACGAGGTCACAACAGGTCAGGAGACACAACAAGAGGAACTTCCGCCCAAGAAACCACGGAGACGGAGGAGAAAGAAGAAAGATAACCAGAGAGGTCAGGATGGTGAATCTGATATCAATCCAGCTGTTGCAGGCGTCGAAGGAGAACCAGAGGAACACGGTGATGACGGGTATTC